CCATTTTCCAAATGCGACCGCATCCCCATTTCAGGCACCTCCCGGGCCCTTCGGGTGCATCTCGGCCTCTGGGCTTACGCTAGGAGCGGAGCCCTTGGCCCTGCGCTTTCTCTTGGATTCCTCCGGCGTTGTGCGGAGGGGCAGCAGGTTCGGGGTAGAGCAGGGGACAGAGAGACTTGATTTGGACCCTGGGAGACAGGGAGCGGTGACTTTTCATTTAGAGAGAGTGGTAGAATTTGGAGTGATGGAGAGCTGGGCTTCCTCCCCTATCGGATCCCAGAAGAATCAGGCAATCCCCACCTCCCTTGCCTAGCCAGTAAATTCTCTCAATACCCCCACCCTGCGAAGCGGGGAGCTGGCCAGACGAGAGTGCCCTGTTGCTCTCTAGAGGAGGACCCGGAATTTCTTTAGGGTAGGCAGTGAGACCCGGGAGAATGAACTCGAAGCACGACGGAAGGCGGGACGTGAGCTGGGAACTTGGGAGAAGCGGAACGGCAGGTCTGAAGTCCTGGGTGTGCGGAGGAAAGATGCGGGCTCAGTCTGCAGGTGGAGGTGGGGGTAGGGACGGGACCGTGGGGCTAGACAGCTGCGAGAATGCAGCTCAGACGCTGGGACCAACTTCCCGCCGAGCATCCTCGCACGTGGGCATGATCTTTGGCGCGCTCTGGCGCCCCCCTCGGAGGAGTGCGACGCTCTTTTGCCCTACCCGGACCCCAGCCCAGGGAGCCCGGGCACCCCTACTTGCAGTCCAGGGCCCTCCCAAGTTCCTCCCGATCCCCGCCCGGCAACAGGCACTAATGAACAAAAGGCCAATTAGACACTGGGGCGCGGCTGATGAATGGACCTTTCGCTTTCAAGCTTGGCACCTTCTCGGGTTTCCTGGCTTACAGGGTCGAGCAGGGAGAAGCCGCCTCCCCGAGCCGGGTCATCACTAGGGTCAGCGGGTTCTCAAAACTCCCACTTCCCCCTCGCTCCGGGGCACGGTGGGGGGAAACGAATCCCGGGGCCGAGGTAGGTGCGCTGGAGCGGAGCTGCAGCCCAGGCGCGCCAGCGGCCCCGCGGCTCTGACTCGGGGCCCCGCAGCCGAATGCTGTAGCCCCTTTCCTCTCCCTGCCGGCCCGCCGCTGCTCCCGCTGAGCAGCACCCAGGTACATCCAAAGCAGATTGTTGGAATAATAAAGGCCGATCTAGAAAAATGCGCGATTACTAAAAACGGCTGTTGTTTGCCAAACTCCATTCGGAGCTAGTAGTGCGCTGCGGAAACAATACCCGAGCCCAAGCTTTCTTACTAGACACACACACGCCTTGGTGCCGGACTCCACCACACGGACCCCATCCCAGCGACTGAGAAATGTACCAGCGGGTCACAGCACACTGAGGCCGTGCCCGCCTTCTGAAAGCCACAACTACAGCAGGACTCCCAGATACATATGGCACCACCAGACCCTGGCACACAAATCCTGTACACAGCTGCATGTCTACACTTTTGTAGGCACTCTGATGGCGGCCGCACAACAACAACTTCTTGCCTGAACTGAAAACAATCTAGATGCACAAGGAAAGCTGGACACCTTGACACACCACAGTGCACACAAGTGGCACTGGCCTCTCCAGCCTCTAACTCACGCAATTAGCATCCACATGTCCTGACTTAAGTCTTGGCTCGGACCCACAATTACATCTCCACACAAACACAACTATTTCATAGACCTAATTCATTCCCTCAACCTATACGCACAACCACAGACTCACTCTAACTGCATCCACACCCATATTCTGACTTTAAACTGCCCACATGATGGTAGCCCAGCCCAGGTCCTCCCTCCGCGGAGTCCGGACCCGCCGAGCCGCCAAAGTCCCTCCCTGATCGGCCTGCGCGTTCCAGACTTTGTTTCCTGCGACTCGAGGCGGAGACGGGGAGGAGCCGAGGTTTCCAGGGCCGCGCGCAGGCCTGAGTCCCCTTTCTGCCCGGCCCGCTTGGCGTGACTCTCTGCCTGCCACAATCCGCCCCTAGCACAAAAGTGGCCCGGCAGGTTCCTGGCCTCAGCCAAAGCTCCCTCTCCCGCTCGGCTTGGCTGCCAGAAGCAGAGTCGAGGGAGCCGAGGGCACCGGACACCCAGCCCGAGAGGCAGAAAGAGCTAACTGTCCGGAGGTCCAACGCTTCTGCCACCCCAGGGGTTCCTGATGCTCGGAAAAAACCACTTCACCCACTTCCCGCCCCGCGCCTGCCTACGAGGCCCTCGGCGGAGCGGATGAACCAAATCCCAAGGGAGAAACGCGCCCGGAGCCCACGGGTACCTCGCAGGAAGAAGAACGTAGCCAAAGCACACATGCATTGTAGAGTCCGTTTGACTTTCTCGGGGAAACTCAAACTGAGAACCCATGCCTCTCTTCTCCCCAAATCCACTTGGCACAGGCGGACTCAAGGGGAGGGCCGACAAGTAATCAACAAGGGAGCGGGACGTGGATCAACCGTGTAACCTACATCCCCATTCGGGGTAACTGGCAGCCCACAAGGGAACCTGCATGCGTTTCGCCTCGCGCAGGGAGGAACGCACAACCTGGCTCTGGATGCCCACAGAGCCCTGCCGGGGCATCCAGGCCTGGCACCCAGAGAGCACCAGGAAAATACAGATCCGAAGCACACAGCTCCCACGCCCCCCTGCCCTAAGGACCCCAGACCCGCACGCGCGCGCCAGGAAGGGGAGGCAGTCTCAAGGCACACGCGCCCCGCACCCTGCCCAGCGCCCCGCGCCCAGATAGTCATCGTGGGAAGGCATCTCGCAAATATTTATATTCCTCAGCGCCATGGCAGCCCGCGTCCACATTAGACGCTCTAATCCTGCCACTTTAAATAGATGAATTAATAAAGCAAACGAGCGGCTAATAAGCTGACTGTCCTGCCTTTTTGAGGCGGGGGAAGGACTCGAAAGTGCGCCAAATTTGTTTGCAGTGGATCAAGGCGAGCCGCCTCTGCTTCACTTTCTTTATCTTAATTCCGACTTGAAAAGATATAATTATCTAGTTTGAACAGAGCTGCTATCAAATCCTTCTTTGGGCCGGGAAGGGGGGCGTTGGAGTGGATTGCGGCTCTCTGAGCCGCTCGGTGCAGCCGGAGATAGCGCGTAATGAAGATGTGGAGGCCTGAGATACAAAGGGCATTAACCTCATTAGCATGAAACCTTTTCTTCTTACCATTGTGGGACCCTTTCAGCCGCCTAATCCCCCCTATTTTCAAAGCTTGGTTTGTAATAAAGCTTTTAGTTTTTTTTTTTCAAAGCTAATAGTATTCTCTGATGATTTTATTGCTGTTACACTATATAGGCCGTTTTAAAAAAATCTTCATCACCCTCCCCCTTTTCTTGTACTTAAAAAAAAGGTATATGATTCCTGAAGAAATAAGCTTTTTATCAAGATGGGATTTGTTTTTTCTGGAAAAGCCAATACAAATTGTAACAAGTCTCTGTTATGAGTTGGAGGCATTCTGTATTTGGGGAAGTGGGTAGAAGAAAAGCTAACTCGTTTAAGAGAAAGGTCTGTCGCAAAGACTGAAGAGACTTGGGGCAGCCATCATGACAGAGGACGCACACCCACGCGGCTGGAACCCCACTTGAGTTTCCAAGAAACTCAGGACAGCACCCGTGCCCGCAGCAGGCAAGCCTGGGTCTCCCAATTTGGCCCCTCTAGCCCCCTACATCCTGCTGCCACAGAGTGTCTCCCACCCCCCCTGCGACACACCTACCTTCCCAGAGGAGTCTGCAAGAAAATGGGCCCTGAGTAGCCAGGGTTCTTCTGAAACAGAGACCAGAGATGGAGAAGAGAGACAGAAAGAGATAAAGAAAAAAAGGGAGAGACCAAGAATGAATTCTAGTTTTAAAGAGAGGAGGGGAGGGGGAGGAAAAAAGAAAGAAAAATTTCCACAGTGCCCTATAGTCCCCACACGTGCACGGAATGTCTAATCTTAACTTTTCAAGGCAGGATGTTAACAAAGCTTGTATTTTTGCCCTGCATTGTAACTTGGCCTTATCACAGTGTAAAGGGTGGGGAGATTGTCCTAAATTATGTCCAGGCAGCCCCCCTGGATCCATGGATTAAGAGATTAAAGGAGACCACTGGGCAAGGCCTCCTCTTTCCCCTTCATATTCCTGGTATGATAATTGCTTAAACTGATTTGCACTTTCACAAAAGCTCGCAGGACGCTTTGTAGCTTGAACAGAACAGACGAGGTTTCTCTATCAATGGAAATAAAACTGATTAATGCAGCCTATCAGGATAAGAAGCAAATGAAGCATGCAAAAACAACCTCGTACCCCCAGAAGGGGGAAGAAGGGAGGAAAAAAGCTAAGTTTCCTCCAAGACTGGTTACAACTTTTTTCTTTAATGTTGAAATTCAGACTTGAAGGTTTCTCAGAAAGCTTGCCTTATAAGGCTGTTGAGGCCTTTAGGCTTACTTCATCACCTTGGGCTGACCGGGGCCAGAGAGGGAGGAGGGAAGGAAGGAGGAAGGTAGGAAAGGAGGGAAGGAGGAAGGGAGAGAGAAAGAGAGAGACTTGTACTTAGGGATTTGAAGTCAGAAACACAGTTTAAAAGTCCCAGGATTTTGATTCTGCTGTTTTCCCTTATCCTTAGGGGAATATTCCTCAATGCATAACTATATCCAGATTTTTTTTAAAAACTAGACGTTCAGAGAAATAAGCATTTTTAACCTGAAATTCAAACTAAACTCCCTCAGTAGGACTTGCAATGGGCAAAGGTCTGGTTGGAAAATTTTTCTCCCATCCCTTTTCTGAAGGACTTAAGTTTTCCTAATCCTCCCCCTTTTCCACCCTCATCTCTCTTTAAAATGCCCAAGAATCCATCAGTATGGCCCTTTTGTGGGTGGGGAGACTGGATTTCTTGAGCCTGGTTAGAGAAGAAACACACTCAAATTATAGAGGTAGTTTTGCTTTGTTTTGTTTTTAAAAATTGACTACAATTTCCCCAAACGACTACTCTGAGGGCATATTGATAAATCTTTATTGACAAAATATTGACATTGACATACTTCTTGGAAGTATATAGTGTGTTAGAATTCTAACAAATTAACACAAAACACAAAAATATTTACATTCTGGTATAGAAGACATTAAGGAAGCATTTGTCACTCTCTTTAGTAAGTCTATGATCTTGGAATTGAAACTCAGTGCCTGAAAACGTGCTGCCATGTCCTTGGCCACACTTAACATCATCCCCGCTAACTACAGTCCTTCAGTTTTTGCAATGGATAGATTTAAAGTTTGGAATGGACTTTACAATGAATGGTTGAATTTAGCCAATAACTCAACCACTAAAGGAGTTTGCTTTGTGGTTTTAAGCCTCAGGATGTTAGGAAAGGGAATATCCAAGAATGATAATCAATTAAGGGTTTTTTTTTCCCCAGCATAAGTCCTGACTCCTCTGTGGGTGCCCTCCCCTGCCACCCCCCAGCCCCCCATCCTGCTCCCTGTTTCTTTGTAGGACCACTATCGCTGAGCCTACCTCATTTAGCTTTCACAATTACTTTGACGTCAGAAGGTATCAGAAAGTGTTTACAGACTGCACATTTCTCAAAAAGAATCAAAATAAAAGGTACACAGAACCTGTCATTAAAAGGAAAAGAAAATCACAATTCATTTTCTGTCTTTAGACACCATTCACCCAACAACTGCTACATGCAATTCAAGTTTTTGAACAGGTGTGGGATGGGGCTGGATATGGAATTTCGATTGTTATTATTACTAATTATTTTTTTAATTGGGGGAGAAAATACTCTGCGAAGTGCAAAATAAAAAGTCCTGTGCCTGGTTGGTTTTTTTCTTTTATCATTATTTTCTTTAATTGGACTGTGATAAACGGAATACCTGCCAATCATCTTGTCTAGCCAGTTCGGCGTTTGCCCGACAGCTTTCTTGTCAGAACGCCTTCCGCTTTGCCACATTTGGATCTCTCTCTCTCTCCCTTTCTCTTTCTCCCTCTCTCTCTGCCTCACTCACTCACTCAGCTGCCTCTTTAGACAAGGGTTGCATTTTGATCAGGGAGACTCCGTCCTCTGCCACGTCCGTGCAGCCTCGGATCAGGACCCTGCGCCCTAGTTGCCCAAAGTCTGCGCGGTGCCGCTGCTCTCTCTGACTCCCTCGCCCCTTCTTGGTGAATGCGTGTGTGCGGTTTGTTTTTGTTTTGTAGGGTTTTTTTTCTTCTTCCCCTCCTCTCCCTCTCTGTTTGCTCCGGGTTGTCCATTTCTGTGGGGATTGGTTTGTGTTTTTAATCGTCTGAGGTCACATCTATTTCCTCGGGACTCGCCTGCTTGGTGGCAATTCTCCACCGGTTAATATGGTGCGTCCCTTTTTTCTTTTGTTGCGAATCTGAGCCTTCTTCCTCCAGCTTCTGTCTTTTGAACTTCGTTCTTCGGTTCTGAAACCATACTTTTACCTGCGGGGAGAGGCAGATGGGCGCGTTAGTTCCTCCACAGCGCCCTCCTACCTCTTCCTTCTTCACTGGGCTCAAACCCTGGGTCTGAGACTTCAGAAGTCCAGCTCCACAGCTGTGTGACCTAAGGGCCAGCCTCCCCATGGCCTCCCTTCAGGGAGTAGAGCTGCTAGTGCTGGTCGGTGGGCAGCCTGGCTCCCGGCACTTCTGTGCCCTCCCTGGGGCTTTCCCCAGGCCAGGAGGCCCTGAGTGCACAGCGCCCCTTCTTGTCTCACCTGCACGGGACACCCAATCCCACTGAGAGCAAATCCTTGCAAAGCATGGGAAACTTCTATAAAAATAAAAGGATGAATAAAGAGATGTGTCCCTAACTCCCTCTACCTAGCCAGTGCAGGAGAGATCTAATTCCAGGCTGCTGCAGCTTCCTGCAGGGCCCAATATACTTTCTATTTTTCACCAGTTTCTGCATTATTGCCTAAACACAGCGCCTCCTCTGCAAGGCCTGGGCCCTGAGTATGCAGTCAGGATTTGCCTGAGCTTTCTCACTCTTGCCCAGGTCTCTTGCAGGTGAGCAGAAGTCTGGGGACCAACCCAGCTGTATCTTTCCAGCTAGGAGAAGAGGCTCAAAAGCGAAAGCTTCTGAAAGATCTTGGGACAAAGGGGAAGTAACAGAAAAACTGAGAGAAAAGAGAGGGAGAGCTCTCTCCTCCCTCCTAAGGACAAGCCAGAGCCAAGCTCGGGTCACATCACTTCCTGGAAGGGCAGGGCTGGCAGCCTGGCTGCCCCAAAGCTGCTGCTAGAGATCTGGGGAGCAATGAGGTGGGACTCCACTGCAATCCCCATCTTCCCCTGGGGAAGCTGGGTGGTGAGTCCCATTTGAGACCAGACCAGATAGTAACCCTGTCCCAGCTTCCCAGCAGCGAGGTGCAGTGAGGAGAAAAGGTGATGACTGCAGTCCCAAGCCCCAGGGCCTGTTCCATCCTGGCAGCAGCACCCAGGGCCCCTGAAGTCCGCTCCGCTCCCTCCTTTGAGAAGGCCGGCCCAGATCCGCTTGCTCTCTCCGAATGCCCCAGTCCCCCAACGTGCCCCGTGAAAAAGCTGAGCTGGAACAAGGCTGAGTTTAATTTGCTTTGAGTTTGCTAATTGAGGGGGAGGACGGTTCATTTCTCCCCGGCGCTCGCCCAAGGCGCGCGTCGGTGCGCTTGGGGCTTGACACGCACACAAAGACTCCAGGCAGCTTGGGCAGCGAGGCGGACAAAGACCACCACCGCCACGGCTATCCAGGAGAAATCAGACGGACCAGCGCATTGCGCCGGGTCCCGCACCAAGCCGCTAGGCCCTCCGTGGTCTTCTCCGGGGGTGGCGGGACGGTTTAAAACAAAAGCCTCGACCTCTTTTCGCCTCCCTGAAAAAGTGTTACAACTTAATCTGCCCGAAAACGTTACTGTTTGCCGGGAACTTTGACCCCGCCCTGTGGCTCCTTGTACAGTAGCGCCTACTGTAGCCCTAAGCCTCCTCTGTGACCCAGGCTGGCCAGAGCCGTGCCCCCTTCGAACACGGATGTACAGGAAGGCTCTGTCCCCAGGCAGCCTGTCTCCGCAGCGTCCCAGCTCTGTTTTGCGACTTAGGGATGCACCCAAGATGACTGGCCTCTGCCGTCTGACTCTCCGATCCCCTCAAGGGAAGTTAACTGGAGCCGTCGGTGTGAGCGTTGGATCTGCAAGTCGCACAGAGCTCGCCTTTAACCATTTTTAGCGCTCTCCAGCCCGGAGCCCCATATACCTCCGACACCCTTCTGCACTCTCCCTGTTCCTAGACCCCAGCCGGCATCCACTTCCTCTCACTGAAAGTCTTACCAAAAGTGCTGCAGTGTCTTAGCCAGGAGCTACAAGTCTTGCCCACCCTGACAGAAGGAGCGACCTTGCCGCGCCCCCAGATCCTGGGGTGGGTTGGCTCTTGCAGTCCCTTGCTGGAGCCCAAGGAAGCCCGGCACCTTGAAACTTTTACATCCTGAGCCCGGGCGTGGAACCAGCGCACGGGCTCGTTGCTGAAGGCCCTCTCTGAGCTCCGCATTTGTGTGCCAGCTGCTTGAGTCCAGAGATTTGGGAAGGGTTCGCCGCGCCTGCGCCCCGCTCACCTGAGTTTCCGTGAGACTGAGGCTGTGCGCCAGCTGCTTCCTCTCAGCGCCCACCACGTAGTGGTTCTTCTCGAAAGCGTGTTCCAGCCTCAGAAGCTGGGACGGGGAAAAGGCGGTTCGGATCCGCTTCGGCTTTCTGGCCAGCGCGTTGTGCAAAAGGAAGCTCTCGGGGCTTGTGTCGTTCCCTGCGGGGGACATAGCAGACGTCCCGTTAGAAGGGAAGCATCCTGGCCGGGGCCGCGCGCTTCTCCTGAGCCGGGCTAGAAGGGCACGGCGCTCAGGGCCTTCGCGTAGTCCGTGCGTCTCTGCTGGGGGTGGGGGTGGGGTGCCTGAAGCCCTCCGGAGACGCTCAAAGAGGACACCGGCCCAGCTGCCCGGCCCGACCCGCCGGGGCTGTACCTGTGCGGCACCCACCCAGCAGTTGCCCCAGCGGGGCGAGTCCCAGGCTCCTGACCTCGGCGGGTTTAGCAGCCTCCCTGGCGCCAAGGGCCTCGCCACCTCCGCGCCGGGCACCCGGGTCAGAGGAGGGGCCAGCAGAGCCAGGCCAGGGAATTGGCGCCCACGACCAGAGAAATGACTTTTTTCTAATCTGTCGGGGAACTTTAATCCCGGAGTGGAGAGGCCGCTATCCAGAGTTTTCTCGGGGACTTATTTTTAAATTATTAAATCTTTCCCCTTTGCGTAAGTGCACAGGCCGGTGTGTTGTAGCAGCCCCGCCGGGATGGAAATACCCCCGGCGTGTGCGCCGTGTTTCTGCCGCCGCAGCCTCCCGAGGTCCCGGATTCCCCGCTGCCCGGCTCCAGAGAACTTGGAGGCTCTAGCGAAGGGATCGAAACCCAGGTGGTAACTGAGCTGGGGACACCCTTTAGGATTGTCCCCGGCTCCAGAAGATCTGGGCCACTCTGGGCTGGGGTGGGGACCGAGAGCGGAACTAGCCGAGAATGAGAAAAGGGAGTCTTAAACTTTGCGAGCAAAACCAAAGAGTTTCAGGTTCACTCATTAGGGTGTGAAATCAATTTCACCAAAAACCCAAACAGAAAAATAAAGCGACAATTCAGGCCAGAATGGAGGCAAGTCCAGTCAGGGAATAAGGGTGAAAGGTTGTTTTTGTTTTGTTTTGTTTTGTTTTGTTTTGTTTTAATAATGGGGGTTGGGGTGGCATCCACCAGATTCTCGCCTCTGGCAGGAACGCAAAGGGTTAATGAATGGACAAGCCGCTGAGTATTGATCGACTGCCACGGGAGGTAGGTGTTTTCCCCGCTCCGATCGCTAAACTAATTACTCGCCCCTTTTTCTGAAGTTTTAAGTTTCCTTCCACCCCCACTCAAAGATCAGAAAAACAACAAATAAAAATACCAAGAAGGAAAACACACGAACACTTCTGACCCAATCCGTCTCCGGACCCAGTTCATTTCTTTTAAAGGAAAACAAAAACAAAAACAAAAATCAGACTGACCCTGCCTTCCCGCCGAGGCCGCTCGGCTCCCAGTGGAGCGGGTCGCGGCGAGAGTGCGGAGTCCGGGAGGCTTCTACCCGCGCCGGTTCCCGCCGTTCCCTGGGCCTCCAAAAAAGGCAGAAAAAAACCAAACCCCTGGACTTTGCTCTAGGGGCGCGAGGGTCCCCTCGTCGCCCTAAGAGGGTTGGAGACCAAGAAGTCGCGGGTCTAGGCTGAAGGGAAGCGGAGTAGGTGGCGAACCGGGTCGAACGCCTTGGAAGGCGAACCTGGCGGTCGGGGCCTGCCCGCGCCCCCCGGAGCCTGGAGAGAAGGTATCACCGAGGACGGAGAGCCCGGGAACCCCGCGGGCTCCGGGACTTCTTGGCGGCCGGCAGTCCGAGCAGGCTGCCCCAGCTTGTCTCGACCAGAGAGCACTCGGAGACTCTGAGCCCCTCCTTATAGGGTCAAGCGGCCGCTGGCCAGCCCCCAACCCGGCCGCTCTGCGGAGACTGGGGACCAACAGCGGGCCCGGCTCCTAGCCGCCCAGTTTTGGAACGCGGCGCGCGACCCGGCGAGCGGCTGGAACCTCCGCCCGGGCCTTGCCAACCGCACACCGCGAGCAGGCCGAGGACAGTGCGGAGTGAGGCGCGCTGCAGCCCCGCGACGTGGCACGTACCTTGGAAGCGGTGGCCCAGATATCGGTAGCGGTGGATGAGCCAGGGGTAGAAGGTGGACGGGTCCCGCTGCTGAGAGGCGAACAGGGGGTGTGGCGAATGCGAGGAAGGCAAGGGGTGGGCGGCCAGGGCGTGCGGCGGCGGCACTGGGTGCACTGGCACGGCGGGGTTGGGCGGGTGCGAGACCGCCTCGGCGAACACCAAGTCCGGGTTGGAGTAGACGCCCCTGCCGGCGGCAGCGGCCGCGGCGGCCGAGTGGAAGCCGTTGAGAAACGGGTTTATGGGGCTGGAGTTGGCGTAGCTGAGCGCCGCGGGACGGATGGGGTCCTCAGAGCGCGAGGCGGGCAGGGGACTCTCCTTGGCCACCAGCGACTCGATGGTGAAGCAGCGCTTGGGCGCCGGCTGGAACATGCTGCGCCGAGGAGCGGGCGCCCGGGGCTCCCGGCTCCCGGCGACCGCGGCGCGCTGCCTCCACCGCCCGCTGCCCGCGGCGAGGACCGACGAGAATTGGGGACTTGTCTGGGGTGGGGGTGGGGGG